GGATGAATCATGCTCTAACCAAACAAATATGTGTCCAAGCTTTTATTTGGCATGAACTCGTAGACCAAAATCTTCTCCTCTTGCTCCACACAGCACCCTAGAAGCCTTACAAGATTTCGGTGTTGCAGCTTGGAAATGACAAATACTTCATTCATAAATTCTTCTAATCCTTGTCCTGATGCGCCAGACAGTCTTTTCACTGCTATTTCCTGCCCATTTTGCAATGTTCCCTAGGATAAAGGAAAACATGTTAGCACAAATTTTCATTTGACAGAATATGAAACTGCTGGAAGCTAACATTTACCCTGTACACCGGGCCATAACCTTCCTGCCCTAGCTGATTTGCAAGATCAAAATTTTTTGTTGCAGTTGCCAGTTCCTCAAATTTGAACAGTGGTAACTCTTGGAGTTTAACTTCAGTTGTGCTGGTTTTCCTTCTGCCAAACAACATTTCTTCACTTTTCTCCTTCCATGCTGAATAGATTAGTAGCAAAGGTTGCATTAAGAGTTACTAAATCATGAATTTTCAAGTTCAAACTGCTAAAACAGTAAAACAGATGAACAACTACATTAGCATACTTGCTACCTTTTCCTTTAGCCACAATCCACCTTCTTATGAACAATGTGCAGATGCAAAAGATGATGGTTCCTACGATCACTGTTGGTATTATGATTATTAATTTTACATCTTTCTTTTGTTCTGCAAGTAAAAATCAAGAAATAAATAACTGCCCTTTTAGAAAAAACAGAATAGAGAAAAACAAAACTTTCCACTTCTAACATGTTTGTCTTTCTTCAAGTTGAAGAATATCATACCAAGTTCTGAGTCTGCCAAACGAATGTAAAGATCCATCCCACCACTGGAGAACTTCTGAATGTCAATCAAGGTTCCATTCCATGACATACAGCCTATACCAACATCATACACATAAGCAATACATGAACAACTATTCAGGCACCTGTCTCTGCATTCATTTGCAGAGTCTGATGACCACACTGTGCAAAGTCTGGCACTTTCATCATCTCTAACTTCAAAAACCCATCCTCCTTACCTACTTCTCTGCTGCTGTTTGTTCTATTGCACTGCAGTGTTGTTCTCCTAATGCAACCACTAGTCCAAATTCCTCTGTTCCATTCCTCTCTATTCTTGGGTTCAAACCCTCTCAAACAGCTGCAAATTGTTGGTTTCTGAGAATCACAACTTCCAAATGGTCCACACTTGCCATAAACATCACATTCGTTTTGTACATTAGACCATATAATCCTATAGTCTTCCCAGTAATCAGTCCAATTCCAAAATCGTTCAATTATTTTTCCTTCTGGATCCAAGAAAAAGTCTAACAAAGATTTATCAGTACCAGGAGCATAAGAAAGATAAAAGGTTTTTTCTTTATCAGTATCAAGGCTAAACTTATAAAGATCGGAATATGTCATCTGGTATTCCAACAAATACCTGACCATTCCACTGGCCACTCCGCCAATATGGCTGAGAATTTTTCCACACGAAGGATTGAGGTATGCCGGAAGGCTCGATCCCAACAGAGAAATCACCAACAGATGGATCAGAAGGGCTTTTCCACGATGTCCCCTGGATTTTCTTACCAGTTCTTAAATCTACACCGAGCTTCATTGTTGGCATAAAAACATTAGAAGGTTGTTGGAAACTCTCCCACATGTTCACGCCAGTGGTTTTATCCAGCAAGACCAGGTTCCAAAGTCTAGAAGCCTAGCAATTGTATTATAACCTTTCAGCTTTTGAACATTGGATGACCAAAGAACCTCCTTCTGCCCATTCACAACTACAAGATTGCCATCCTCAGATATCATCATCGTTCCAGAGGAGTCCTTCAGAGGCTTCTCCCTGTTTGCTACCCATATGATGCCTTTTACAGGGTCAATACCGTTGTACCATATTCCCACATAAAGATCAGTAGAATTAGCAGGGCTGAAGAATCCCAGTTGGAACTTGCTGCCATTGGAGACTATGGATTCTGGATATTTGATAGATTTTGATGGAGTTATGGTGTCTGCTGAAGAGCCAAACTGCAAACAAGAACAAAATAGTAAGAGAAAAACTAGTGAAATCATTCCTCTGCTCATTCTCAGACTTGCCAATTCCTCTGTTTTCATCAAAATGAGGATATGGAAGCATTGACTCTTCAATTTCATGTCAACCAGTGCCGTGTTTGTTCTTTTGATATACTTTTCCAAAGTGCTATAAGACCTTGGTTTTTTTTATTTCTGAGTTGACCCCTTGGAAATTTTGGAGACCAATTGTCTTAGCCTAATTTAACTGTTTCTGTCATGTAAATTTCCACCATTAAGTAGATTATTGCTTATCAAATCTTTTGACCACTGTCCTTGATGAAAGTTGAATCATTAGAAGAAAACTCCAACTGAAGTTTGGTTAGGAAAAAAAATGGGAAAAGAAAAAGAAACAAGCTTGTTATAGCATGTTAACTGTAACTTTTCCAGCAAAAACTAACCCAAAGTCAGCATGAAACTTACAGAGACATAATATCAAACACCTGGTGGGTAAACTATTACCCAAACCAACACAGATAAAGCACAAAGCTAGATTCAACCCAATCCAACACAAAGAAAAGCACAAAGCTATATTACAATTGGGAAAGAAAATTGCAAGTACTACAGACAAATCAAGGGGCAGAATTTAAGCTTACAAATGGAATTTTGATGAATTTCCTTCATTTCTTCAGCAGTTTAGAGAATTTCTGCAGCAAAATTTGTGTGTTCTGACCAAAAATACACTTCTAGTCAGTAATAGACACTCAAAATTATTATTGATCTCTGGTTCTCGTGTCTCTGTTCCTGTTGTTTAGGATTCAAAAAGGATGAAAGCATTCTTCTCGACAGTTGCAGTCTGGATTCCTCTGGCTAAGGTATGCTTCTTAATAATTTTTCGAACAAACTCAGTTAAAAAGGCGTATGATTTCCTCTAATAGAAGTGCTGTGTTTGAATGGACTCAATTCAATAATTTCCCCATTAACTATTAACTTAATTTTATTTTAATTTAAAAAGTTAGTATTATTTCTAAATAAATTATAATAGTTTACCATATAAAAGTTTTATCAATTTTAATAGAAAAATAGCAAAAAAAAGTTAAATCAAAATTAAAATAAAATAGTTTCAACCAATAAAATAGTCCATAAAAGCACCCGCACCTTCGACTGCTTTGGTGGATGCACTTAAACTTATGATTTCGGTCAGAGTTTCAAATTGCAGTGTGCAGCCCTCTTTCCCCCTGCCCCCCTCACATTCCCCCTGTTCAAAAAAAAAAAAAAGTCCATAAAAAATGTGCAAACTATTAAAATATGTTGATAATTATAGTTTTTGCTATAGAGGAGAATTATTAAAAGGAAAGTTTAATTAGCATATGATAAATGTTATAGTACCTCGGGCAATGAAAAAAAAACCTTATCATCCTCACAAAATTAGTTTTGTCTAAATTAGTTTTGAGAAAACTAATTTCAATGAGTAAAAGTTCGCAAAAAAAATATAGTTAAAAATTAATTTGATTAAATAAAGGTTAAACTCTTATTTTGGTTCCTGAACTATTATACGGACCTCCGATTTGGTCCTTGAACTAAAGAAATTCCTAATTTGGTCCTTGAACTATTGTACGGACCCTGAGTTGGTCCCTAAACTATTGTACGGACTCCCGAGTTAGTCCCTAAACTATTGTACAGATGCCCAATTTGATCTCTACTGATTACCAATTTAACCCCAACTTGATCCTTCTGTTAAATAATAGCTCAGGGACCAAATTGGGGCGAAATTGTAAACAGTAAGGACCAAATTGGGGTCCGTACAATAGTTCAAGGACCAACTTAGGCTAAATTATAAACAATGGGGACCAAATCAGGGGTCCGTACAATAGTTTAAGGACCAAATCAGGGATTTCTTTAGTTCAGGGACCAAATTGAGGGTTCGTACAATAGTTCAAAGACCAAAATGAGGATTTAACCTTAAATAAAATGAAACTATTGTTAAAAAATTAACAGACTACACTAAACTAAAATAAAAGTAAAAAATAATAGGTGAATATAAAAATATCTAAAAATAATAAATGCAAAAATATAAAAATTATTAAACTATTTTTTAAATTAAATCGTCTGTATATGTCTCCTTTCTTCCCTTCTTATATAAGAGAAAGAGTTGAACTTTATATTATTAATGAGCCCAAAATTTTATCGTTAGAATTGTAAAACAGAGTCATAGAGGGACTCCCAATATTAGGGTCTCTCTTCCTCTAAAGGTTAATATTTGATAATTTAGAGTAATCTAAATTGTAAAATATTTTTTTGATTACTTAGATGTGTCGTTGATTGTGATTTTATGAGATAAAAAAAATAAAAATTTGTATTAAAATTATCATATCAATCACTCCACCTCGCAGAAGAAAACCAAATCTCCATCTTCATGTAAATAATATATGTATATTGTATTTAAGTGTAGTTTTCTTATTTCCTAGGTTAGATGACTGCTTGAACCAAAGTTTTAAAAACCGAACCGGAGGTCAAACCGTTTTGACCTTCGGTTCCTGGTTTAGCCGGTTTAACCGGTTCAACCGTTCAAACCGCTGGGTCATTCCAAATGAATAAATATAATGTTGTGTAGTGCTTTGACAGCACAGGTGCTGTGGATTAACTGGTTTGTAACCTTGTCTATTATGGAGGAGTCAAAAGTTCGAGCATGCTCCATGTTAAAATATATGTAGAGTGTTTCTAAATTTTTAATGGGTTTTTTAATATATAAAATGTATAATATATGTAATTTTTTAATTAATTTATATAAAAAATATAAATAT